TAGAGACAGAGAAAGAGTTGGACTTTGGAAAGATTACCAAGTCAGGCCGTGATGGGGTCAATCAGCAGATGACCTGGCTCTTCCGTACCCACCTGACTGGTCATGACTTGCTGACCCTGGACATGTCAATTCTTGTTATTTTCCATTACATCAAGTGCCTATCCTTGAAACAGAGAGAGGCTTAGCATAGAGAAACATCCCTCCTGTAACTTTCCCATTCCCTTGTGCTCTCCTGCTATCCCGTGTTCTTCCTTTCTCTCCCTTCCCCTCCTGTCTTCTTCTCCCTCCCTCACATTTTCCTCTTACTTCTTTTTCTTTACCTTCCATGTTTCACTCTTTCACCTAAGAAAATGCTTCACTCTCCTCTTTTCTGGGAAGGAGTTAAATCTTATTTGTGATTCCCTTTTGGTGGCTACCAGGTCCAACCCAAGCGGTTATCAACCCGACTCAACAAGAACTTTTGGGGGTATGCCCTTCCACATTTGGCCACTAGGGGGCGTGTGCGCAATACTGTGGTTTTTATCAGCGGCTGTAAGACAGAACCTGGAGGGCTCTCTTCCTGTTGAAAGAAGAGTCTGCTAGAGGGCCTGGAGTTTCCATCTCCAAACAGCGAGGGGAGGGACTTGACTTTTGGGGAACATGGGTATAGAGACAGATAGGTATCTTCAGTAGGTGAGTGCCTGAGCTGAAAGGTCCCATTCCATCTATCCTTAGACATGGGTGGAGAGTGTGTGTGTGTGTGTGTCCACTTACTACCTTCAAGTCGCTTAAATGTTCTGGGCAACAGTTTCTTCACTTCTAAAAACGAGTGACTTGTGAGCTAGCTGATCTCTGTGGCTCCTTCCAGCTGTATTTCTGTACATTGAACACAGGAGGTTTGGGGACATTGACTGAGTAAAATAGGACAGAGCCCCTAACAGACCAACCAGTCCTCAGTGAAGGCATTCCTGATTTATGGCTGGGCTTTGAACTTTGGAAGGCTCCGGACTTTGAGGAGTTCCTCCGTGTCCTCCTCATGTGTTAAGCCTTTTTAGTCTACTCAGGGTTTGAAAATGCATTTCCTGTAACTGTCTGGAGCCAGGGATCGGAGCGAACATTCTTGGTGCCTTTCTGCCTGACACATAAATGACTGATTTCTAGGTAAGGCTGTGCCATCTTTTGGTGCTTGTCTTACATGACAAACTCATTTGTCTCAGGTAGCTGGGAAGTGGTGCTGTCAGAGGCTGTGTTTGAGGACAATGGACTTGAACAGGTGTCAAGGGCTTGCTGGGAACTGACCGCCCAGCCAGGTGCTAGGGCTGCGGAGGCAGAGGGGTCCGAATATGACTGGCCCCTGCTGCGATGTGTGCTGTGTGCCCAGGAGCAGGAACAGTGCTTGTGGGGGATGGGAGGACAGAGAGTCAAAAGCTTTCAGCCCGGTCACTTAGTGTCCATGATAAGCCTTACGGATCTGCTTTGCCACCATCGTGGGAGATATGGATTTCCTCTCCCTGCGCAGAGACATCGAGTACCTGACTCAAGATCACACAGCTAGGAAGCAGGAGATCCAGGGGTCAAACCGAGGTCTCTCGGGCTCTTGGTCCAGATTTCAACTTCACCACCCATGGCACTGGGTCTTGGGGGATCTGGGATAGGGCTCACCATTCTTAAATCAAAGGAATAAGGACACTTGTGCGAACAGCAGTCTGGCAACACACACGCAGCTCTCTCAGAAACACGCTGCCTGCTTTTGTGTATTCTCTGAGACGTGGTTGCTGTGGCGATGTCTGAGAGGCTGGCAGGTACTTGTCCACACCAACACATGGGTGTGGTAGGTGAGAGCTAGGTGGGGATTCTGACAGACAGCCATGGTGGTGGTTGGCTGGAATAACAGGGCAGCTCCTTAGATGGCATGGGGATGGCGACACTTGATGAGGCGGTTTTAGAAGTGCCTCTCTGTCTCTGGGGCTGGGAGGTGAACCCCTGACATATAAGAGCTGGGAGAAGAGCTTCTTACTATAGCTGAGGGCCTCCACTCCAGGCCAGATGCAAAGTATGCAGATGGGAGAGTGGCCCCAGTGGCCAGCCTGAGGTGGCTTTGCAGAAGTCTGTTTGGTTCATGGCTGGTCACTTGTACCCAGAGCAGTCCCTGACCTTGGCATGTGCTCAGGAGGTACTGGTAGGTGCCTGGAGAGACCCCTGGCCTGAAAGTCAGAAGACCTGAGTTTGAGTACCATCTGCAACGGCTTGCAAAATAATCAGAACTGTTCCCAACATCAGATTTTCTCATCATCAGAGGGATCCGAGGGTTAGTGCCCTCAGGAGGGGTCCAGGTGCAGAGGGGCCCCACAGCCAGCAGCTCAGCCAGGTTGGTGGGTGGGGACAATTTCCTGAGCATTTCACAGAGACATTCATCTCCTTCCTCCCTGGAGGACCCCATGTGGGTATTCATTGTACTGGGCACCTGCCCTCTTGGAAGTTTCAGAGAGAAGGAGGGTCCGGAGCAGAAGATTCAGTGCCTCTGCTGTCAGCTTCCTGGTATACAGCCCTCCTCCCCAGCTGCCAGCAAGACTTCTCTGCCAACCTTGCTGATGGAGGAGGGCTGGACTCTCACAGACTGACACCTGGGAGGGAAGAATGGGGAAGGGAGGGAGGCCTGAGGGTCCATGAGTCTAGGATCCCTTACTGACAGCCGTGGGACTTAAGCAAAGTACCGAACTGCTGTGAGCCTCGGTTTCCTCATTTGTAAGTGGTGATAAATAATGTCTTCCCTACAGGTTCTTGGGAAAACTAAAAATAGTGAATGAAAGAGCCTGGCCCTTAGTAAGTGCTTAATGAAAACAGCGATTGCTCAAAGTGTGGAATGTTACTGGGGTAGAGGGCCTGAATGGAAAGGAGGCTGCAAGGCCAAGTGATGAGGGGGCCGCTGAGTGTCCAGCATCTGGTCCCCCTTCTCCTCCCCTGGGGCTCACCGACATCCCAGAACTCCCCTTCTGCCTTCCTCCCTTTAAGTTTGGCCATCAGGGACTCAAACCCTAGCATGTAGGTCCTGTGATGCAGGGACATGAGCCAGAGGTATGTGCATTCCATTCCAATGCTGTAGGAGAAAACATTGCCCCATGAACTTTCCACCTGCCCTCTAGGGCTGTGGGCATAACCCTGGATTTGAAGATGTGGTCTCGGAAGCTCACACAGGTGAATGAGCCAAGGTCCCACAGAGTCAGGGAGGGGCTGGGGCTGCAACCATCCATGTTGCTGTCCCAGAAGCCCCATTCTGGGTCCCGGGTGAGAAACAGAGCCCTGGAGTCCCAAGTCCTTCACTCAGTCTGCTAGGGCAATGCACGGTGTCCAGCAGTGAGGATCCCACGGGGTAGTGTTTGCTAAGTGCTCCTGGGAGCTACAGTTGAGGGGAAGGAGAGATTTGGGAGACCAGGAGGAGAGCCATGCAGCAAGAACCCCAACAAAGACCAGCCAAGTAAGCACTTACTAGGTGCTGGAGACTGTTTTGGGGATTTCATTATGAGTTGCCTTGTTAAATCTTCATGGCTCTGTTATGAAATAGGTTGTATTCTCATCTGTACTTTACAGATGAGGAGACTGAGGCACACATAGGTCACAGCTAGTGAGCACAGAGCCATAATCGCAAATCCAGGCTGTGGGGTCCCAGAGGCCACATAGTTAACCTATCATTTGACTGCCTCTTGAGAGTTCAGACCAAAGAGAGACATGAAGAAGATTCTTACTGGGCACTCTGATATGACACTTCTGCAGGGAGCCACTGCAGTCTAGGGGTGGAAAAGGGGATGGGGTGCTTGTGCTCAAGAACCGTGGGTACTGGGGGCTGGTTGATTTCCACTCTCAGCATCTCTGGCTGTGGAGGCCTTCATGTGCATGGGAGGAAGATTCTGCTCCAGGCAGCTGGCCACAGGAGTGGCATTCCACTGGTCTGTTCCTTCGACAAACATTTCTGGTGCCCCCACACCTGTCCCAAAGGCACCAGGTGTTGGGAACCCTCCCCACAAAACAAAATTCCAGCTCTGCCCCGAGATGCTCAGGGTCTCATGGAAACAGAATTACCAGCTGTGAGCCAGGGCTGACCAGAGCAGGGTGGGGGAGGGGAGTGAGGGGGCTTGGTGCCTTGACTGCTTTGCAGAGGAAGTCTTGGAAAAGCTGTCCAGGGAAGGTGACACTGCGGCCAGGACTTGGAATGGCGTTTGGAGGGGGAAAGGCCGCACAGACTCAGGAGTCTTTGGCCGGCTGGGGAACATTTTACTCCACATGCTGAGGAAGGCTGAAAATGTCCTGAAGGGAGGGCTTGTTGGGGAAGGGGGCGGAAAGGGACGGAGGACATCAGCACCCACGTGCGTCCAGGGGACTCTCCCCACGAGGGGACAGAATCCTGCAAGGCTCCCTCTTCCTCCTCCAGGCACAGCCGGTTTATGGGAGATCAGAAAGACAGGCCGGTGGCAAGTCGGGATGACAAAGACGCCCTGAAGGGCACGCGTTTTTATGTAATCGACCTCAGCACCTAGGGTCCCGCGTTAGGCGCCGACGAAGGACGGCGCGCCCGCCTTATCTCCTTGCAAATAGGAGAGGACAGCAAAGCGAAATAAGTTAGGGAAGTCCTGAGAGCCTTAAAAAGCAGGGCGGCTCGCCCGCCCCGTTGCCTCTCCCCAGAGCCCGCTGGGGCAAGCCCGGGCTCCCCCAGCCGACCTCTCTCCCGGCCGGGCCCCTGACTCCCCTCCCGGGAACGCTCGCCGGGTGACCTTGGGCGAGCCGCGCGACCTCTCCGGGCCTCAGTTTCCCGGCCTTCGCAACCGGCAGCGCCGTGACCACACAG